TAATATTTAGATCTTTGCTCCATCTGGAATTTCCTTTGTTATGTGTAGTGAAGTAGATAACCAGTTCCCCAATGTTATTTATTAGATATTCATTTTCTTTCTATTGATCTATTGTACCAACCTTATATGAAACTAAATTCTATATGTTTTCCATTAAAATTATTCAAAGGTATGTTGTCTGGCCCCTAACTGAATTTAAGATACAAAAAAATAGCTAGAAGATCTCCTAAATGTTTGGAAACTAGGCCACACATTTTTAAAATAACCTATGGGTCAAATGAAAAATAATTTTGATTGAACATTGATGAAAATCTAAAATGTCAGAACTTGGGCGCAAAAGTTATAGTAACAGAAAAACATGTAGACTTACGCATGTGTTATAAAGAAGAAAGGAAGAATGGTACCTGTTATATTTCTTGGCCAAGTCCCTGTCCATCTCTCTCTTTTTTTTTTTTTTTTTTTTAGTGTTACCTAGCATTTGCCTTTCTTGAAACCTTAAGCTTCGACCAGCCTGGTTGGTTCCTCTGCATATCCTTTGCTTTAAATCTCACTGGCATTTCTAGTGGGATCAAGCTAAACTATACTTTCATTTGAGAAGGATTGACATCTCAATAACAATGACTCTTCCTGGACCAAAGCAAGATTTGTCTTCTTTTATTCCAATCTTTGTTAGAGTTCAAAAACTTTCCTCATCATGCAGATGTCGGGGAGCTCCCCTCTGTCTCAGTTGCCACTGAAATAGTTTTTCTTCAATTATATTTTGTAGTTTCAGTTGGTTGACTTGTAATGTTTCAGTTTCACATGTAATGAAGACGTGTTTGGGACATTTTGGCTAAACCCATATGAATCATGCTTGTCTAGCACACCCTCTCCAAACATGCAATACATATTTGCCTTTATGTCTCTTTCCATCCTCTGACATACTCTGAAGGCAATTGCTGTCTACATCCCAAAGTTTCAACAGAACTGCTGCAAATGTCCTGGAGCAGTAGAAAGTATTTTGGGCCAGCGTTACTTCATCACAAATCATCACAAGTGTCCCCACTGTGGTTTGGGCACTCTGCAGCCAGACAATGTACATTCCAGGCCTGACTCATGCTCAGGGAGCCCTCTGGAAGCATGCCCTGAGAACACTGCCTGTGCAAGCCACTTCCTGAGCACCCCCAGACCCAGCAGAGATCTGGAGTCACTTCTGCAATTCTACAGCCTTTTTAATATTGATTTGCCATTTTTCTGATATAAAAGTGGTGACTACAATAGGAAGCATGTGAAGGACAACACGAGATTGACTTGTCTTCTCCATCACTCAGATCATCACTGATGTGATCACCTTGTGATCTTTGCACCCTGTACATGCAGCAGCGTGCATACTCCAGAATTGAGGCAGCTCTGGCCATATGACTTTCAATCCTGTGTCCTGTCATGCATTATATGTGCTTCCGAATAGGCTTTTTGTTGACTGCATGGTATTTGGTAATTTATTTACTCATCCTACCATTATTTTGCCTTTGGGTGATTTCCAAAATAAGACTTCAGTCAAATCTTGTGCAAACATCTTTGCTATCTTCTCTAATTATGTCTGTTGAATATATTCCTAGGTGGATTACTGGGTCAGAAATTAGGGAAATTTTTAAAAATTATGATAGCAGGGCCCTCCCTGGTGGGGCAGCAGGTTAAAGCACAGCACTAAGAAGCTAAAGCCACTTCAGGATGAATTCCATTACCACCCCAGAGGTGACCCACATGGCACAGCAGACCTCACCTGACTTGCCCGCTGCTCCCCTCAGCAGTGTACTTCGTCAGTCAGCTTGTCCTGCTCCCCACTCTGTCTCTGGTGAATCTCCTTACTGCCCCTGCACCTCTGGCCTGTACCCCAGTTCTGCATATATAAATAAATAAATCTTTTTTAAAAATTGTGATAACACACATAACCTAAATTTACCATTTTTAAGTTCTTTTATTTAAGATTTATTTTTATTTATTTATGCATATAAGAATTGGGGTACAGGCCAGATGTGTAGGGAGTGAGAAGATTTACCAGAGACAGAGTGGGGAGCAGAACAGGCAGATTGACTGAAATACACTGCTCAGGGGAGCAGCGGATGAGACAGGAGATGTCTGCTGTGCCATGTGGGTCACTTCCCTTGCTGGGAATCAAACTGAGGTCTCAGGGTTGATAGTGCTGAAACTGAACTGCCCGGCCACTGGAGAGGCCCCTAAAGTTCATTTTAAGCTGAAACTTCACGCTGTCGTGCAAACTTCACCACATCCATCTTCAGAACTTTCTTTCATCTTGCAAACTGAAACCACACACCCATGAAACACTAACATTCTACTCTGTGAGCTTGACCTCTCCCAGTGCTGGGATGTAAGCAGTCTCCAGTTCCGGTCCTCTGTGACTGGCTTACTTAGCAGCGTTATATCCTTGAGATTCATCCATGTAGCACATGTCAGAATTTCCTCCTGGGTAAAGCTCAGTAATATCCCATTATATAGACAAATCACACTGACTTTTCCCATAGGAACATTTCCAAAGCTCTTGACTCAAATTGTCTATTGCCTCCCCCTAACAAAAAAAAAATTCACACCAGTTTCCATGTCCACCAGGAATATATGAAATTCAAAGTCTCAAGCTTGTGCACCTAATTTAGGATTAAGGTGACTCATGGACGACTTTATTCATATCCTGCTGCATAGGATTTTCTGCGTTGACAAACATGCAGCGCCAAGTTACTGCTAAAGAACTTTCCTTCCTAATGCCTGTGATATATACACATGTGCATGCAGAAGATGAGCCTATTTAGTACTTATCAAAGGGTAATGGAGCTTGTCCACAGCTTGAATCCGACCTCAGAATCTCCACTCCTGCCACCACAGGCATTTGTGAGATGTCGCTTACCAAGGTTCCGTTCTTTCAAACCCTATTTGGTTTTTGTGCCTACCAAGAAAAGAACCAAAGATTTTGTTTGATTGGAAACATCTGGCATTCATCTAGCATATTAAACTTTCCAAAGGCGTCCCTTACATGATCTCACTTGGTTTTTCCAACCTCCTCAGCCCCAGGAGGGAGGGTGATCTTGTCAATCACAGTTAGGTAGACACTGGTTCAACGAAATGATGCTACCTACTGGCATCGACTGGCTTGGGACCCCAGGACTCAAGCTCCTTCTCCTGTCTTGCCCCTGGTCGTCTGTCTCTGTCCTTTCACAGATTCCCCACTCACTTCTGCTGTTGCTAGAGTGTGCTATTCCTTTTCTTGGCATGTCAACATTCCTGGGCTGTCCAGGAATGCTCTTTCTTGGAGAGCAAGGAGAATAGATATTTTAGCCACATATAACATACTGTGCTTGCCAGGCACTTAGTAGGGACACTCAATAAATATTAATTGAAGAATGCAGCTACATTGGTTTACATGCTGGCCAGATCCTTTAGAGTGTCAAGAAATTCCATGAGAGATTGAGTGCTGGACTGGAAGACTGTGCAGGGGACAGAGAAGTCCCAGAGTAAAGGAGCAGATCTTCCTGGATCATGAAAATACAACCACCACCCCACCCTCCCCCGGCAGGGACTGGGGCCTTTTCCATCGCCAGGAAAAAAGGAAGGGAACACACATGTGCTGAGTGACTTCCAGGATGTGTATTTTCCTAGCTGGGGTGGAATTAACTCTGCTCCTTCTCTCTTCACATTTTTGTCAAGCCAATGGAGGACATTAGGAACCAGCTACTTGAGGTGAAGGGCAGGTGTGCCCGGTGGGTGGGAAATGAGCAGGGTGTCCTCTGTGGCTCACAGACTAGATGCCAGGTCAACGTATTTGGCTTGCCTGGGAATGAGCAGAAGTCTATGTGGATAGCAGTACTGGGCACATACATGGTGTGAGTTCCCCCTGCCCTGGTCTGGGCTCCAGGTGACTCTCGAAAAACGGAGAACCCAAGAGTTTCCAGGAACTCAGCATTTTGGGAGAGGGGAAATTCAGGCTAGGAACTGAGAGTGAGGCTGAGGCCTGGATGGGAAAACTTGCTACTGCCCAGCCACTGCTGTGCCCAGAGGAAGCCCCTGCCCTTGGCCTGGGAAGGAGGCAGAAGGGCAGGTGCCACGTCTAACATGACTCAACACTTGGGCCCATCCTCTCTTTGTCTCAGAATCCATTAGGTGCAAAAGCACACAAAAGGAAAGCAGGGGGTGCGGTGGGTGAAAGGGCAGCACTGTGAAGCTGTCCACGGCCGCTGCAGCTTGAGTTCTAACCCCCAGCCAGGGAGCTGACCACATGGTGCACAGACCTCTCTGTCCCACCTGCTGCTCCCCTCAGCAGTGTATTTCAGTTAGTCTGCCTGTTCTGCTCCCCACT